TCTCCGTCTCCTAAGCCCCCACCCCACACACACACCGACAACAACGGAGAATGGTTAATGGTTAATGGTTAAAAGCAAGATAAATGTGCTAGACATCTAAGGTCATGTAGCACTATAGTTAATGTTAGTGAAGGGTGGTTGTGTTAGTGATTAGTTGTCTAAGCTGGGCAAAGGAATTGGTGAGTGAAAGGGTTAAGGTCGGGTGTTAGATTAGATAAAGGATATGTATACGTTTGAGGATGCAGAAAGTGTGGGATTCTGTAAGGATGTCTGATAGGTTGGGAGGTCGGTGAAGGGAGGATAGGTGGGGGAAAGCAGAGGTACGGGCTGCTTCAAAACGTGGGCACGACAATAGGATGTGTACGATTGAAAGGGGAACATTACATACAACAACGGAGAAGGGATTGGGAGGGAATGTAGAGATAATACATCAGGTAAACAGGTCGTGGGACAGCAAAATACATAGAGAATGTGGGAATATCACAAACAAGATCAAGTATTGTGGTTATGAGTGGAGCAACTCTATCTCAGTGAAGGATGAATATTAGATCATTTTGTCTTCCTTTCCATATACACAAACTTGGTAAAATGCAAAGGTTAATAACAAAGAATGATAAGTTTATTCCTTTGAATCAGTTTCTTGATATAAGGTTTAACTATTTCGTTGGCAATGTTCACACACAGGGGACACCATAAGTTTTCCAATGGTCTTCCTCTTTTGTATGAAATACCCTTCTGCTTATCTGCGTGAAGGAAAAGGTTCCTACAAGTCTTTCCGGCGCAAGCACACTGCAGTTGCTGCACGTAAATATATAGATAAAAGATGAACATAATAGGCTGGGTATTTTGTCTTTGATCTGGAAGTAGAGGCCAATGGCGTGTATGGAAGTGAAAATGATTCTTACATCTACAGTTGAAAAGTTCATGTTTATGAGGCTCAGTAGTTTCCATCCTCTAGCATTACCCAATATATGGGAGGTTTACGTAAATTATAGTTTTGGGGTTTGTCTTATAGACCTTAATGACAATGAAAAACATTCTTGATGAGGGTGTCAGTACTAGAGCCAATTTCTTTAGTGAAAATTAGACAAGGTTTTGAGATTTTCTATGTTCTGTTGGGAAGCGTATTTATAAGAATTGTTATCTCATACAAGATGCCTGGTTTCCGATATTTGAAATACCTTTTTCACCTTAACAATGTACTCGTCCTCTTCTAGGATAATCTTTATCAGGTTACAATAAGAGAAAGAGAGAGTGGTAAGGGAAGGAAGTGAGAGAGGGGGAGGAGAGAGATAGAAAGTGAGAGTAGAGGAAAAGAGTAAGAGATAAAATGAAGGAACGGAGGAAAAGAGAGAGAGAGAGAGATAGAGAGAGAAGAGAGAGAGAGAGAGAGAGAGAGAGAGAGAGAGAGAGAGAGAGAGATCAAAATTACGATATCTTAAATTAAAATACAAAGGTGCTCGTTTGCTCGAGTCCTAGAAAATAGGGCTTATTCTGTACATTTATTACATATATATTGTGATGTGTATTGCAGAAGACAGGCAAAGATTATATACATTGTAAATCTTTGGATGTTTTCGTATGATGGTAATACACGTACTCATATGTGGTATACATTTTTGTTTGAAGATGAAAAATCATTAATCTTATTTCAAATTTGTTTATAGAGCCATGTCACTATGCTATTTTTTTTCAAATTAATTGTTTATAGAGCCATGTCACTATGCTATTTTCTCTTTCTTTGATGATTAGTGTGAATCCTAAGATCAAATATTCATACGAGTAACTACAGAGAGAAGTGATTGTACTGAACCGTTCATCGCAAAATTAAAATAATTTATTCTGTAAATTTTAAATACGCTCGCTTCTTATGTTTAGTCTTTATTAGTAACAAATATAATACCTATGGCAATGTTTTGAAAACATTTTTACATTTTCATCATGATTTTTTCGTTTTGACATGATAAATTATCACGATCGGACCTTATTGCTTGAGGATTATGGTATTGCAAATGGATATAAAAATTATGACAGAAAATATAAACAAAAACAACATTTTCAACATTTAAGAATGGTGAATAACCTTATGAGTAAACGTTGCCGTCACACGGAAAGGAAGGGTTACGCTAAACTTTAACATTTTTGTAAAATTGTTTTCTTCAACTTGGCGTACCATTAGAAAATTTTAAGGACTCGGTCAACACTCACTTATTACCAACTACGTGACTTAGTTTGCTTTTTTCAGATGATTGTGTAACTAGAAATAAAACAAGCCCCTGTTTTCATGACAATTTATTTTCTTTACAGAGAATATAAACTGAGTATATAATGCCTCTGTTCATGCTAGTCCCAAAAGACCTTAAGCAATACAACTATTGTGATACACTTCACATTAATCGAAGTTAGAAAAGTCAACTCGAATTAGGTCGTAAGGAAGGCCGAGTCCATAGTCAGTGTTTACCGAGAATCCCATCCAATACCCCACACTGTAGTTATAACCAATCATAACTGATATGGCTGCATCATGGTATGGTATGGTAACAGCTACTGCTTCCTAGGTTTAGTTCTTGTGAAAGCGCTCTGGATACAGCAACTTGTTCATCTTCTTTGGTAGGTTCCTCCAGAATTCCAAGTCCTATAGAATAGAGATAGAAATTAATCCATGTATAGAAATCACTCATTCTTGATGCTACATACAGTTACAAGAAAGCTCTGTTCAGTATCACTAAATGTCACACTAAAAGGCTATTGTCCTATCAAAATACCAGTTACGGAAAAGAAAGAACCTTTAGCACTTCAAAGGAAAGTAGGCAGAGAGTGAACAGCTGAAAGAGTACTAGCGAATTGCTTTCCAGGTTGTCGAGAAAATAATAATCAGTAGGGAGAAAATACAATCAATGTAACGTGTGTATAGCAATATCTTGCAGTATAAAGGATAGATGTTTACCATGATCCCTGTTACTTATCAACAGACTAAGCCTGCATTACCAATACCAATGTTCAAGTAAAGATTTGTACACATGTAATTTGAGACATTACTAGCAATATGTCTGAAATATACGACACATGCTTTTAAACCAACACTATAGTAAACCCATTGTTCAATGTTCCTAAGTATTATATTCTAAGAAAAATCCACACCAATATCGTGAAACGTGTGTAAGTTTTCACTGATAGCAAGATAGGTCAAATATGTATGCAAACATATCCTTAGGTTAAAAATGTATGCAGCCGTATCCTTAGCAACTGTTTTGAACTTGTTTTGAACATATTAGTGTGTACAAGGACAATGAATATGCTATCTATGTACCTGGTGATTGTCGAAGACCTTCATAGTTGGGGATGTGGTGATGCCGAGGTAAGACGTCTTCGAGACCTCAGTCGGGGTCCATTTGAATCCCAATGACATGTCCGGCGTTGGGTCGCTGGAGATGTAGTTAAATTCTTTATGTGCAATCGATTCATACATCTATGACCTGTTACAAGTGTGATATCCTTTGAAAATTATGCTTCATTGGTATTAGGTACTTGATAAAATTTAGCTTTGTTATGGCTTAGGTATAGGCGTCTCTTACCCAGTAACGGCAAAGTTGGTCCAAAGGTCTACCATGATACGGGAAACGAAGAGATCCTCTTCCTTACTCAAGCTGATATTGAGATTGTCAAAGTTGAACAGGTACTGCAAATCGTCCATGTGGCTAACATCTGCAAGTATGTGAGTTGTTTAATATGGACAGTAAAAGTCAATGACATTAATAATGTAAATTTATAATGAAGCAGGTCGCTATATCAATCAAGTTTCTAGTCTCACATCATCACAACACATACACACACACACACATATTTACATACAAATATCCATGTGTATTTAACAATAATAATAATGATGATGATGATAATATTAACATTTATTATAATACAAGTCCTTACCGTTCAAAATCCAATCAGGTGTAGGTCCCATGTATAGGTCGGTGAAGGTGTATTGTCCACGATGCTGCAACTCGTAGGCGTAGACACGATTGCCAAAGGCTGTATCTCTTGCATGGTTTTCTATAGCATCCATGACGCATATATTGAAATAGCCGTCGCCAAGCAGCTTAGGATGAACAAGATTTAAATTAGGCCGACGTAGTGATCACGAGAAAACATCCCACCACTTTGATTCTATTGCTAACTCGCTTTGTTTTCCATGTATCAGATAAATAGTCAGTGCTACTCTATATTCTCTTAATTTTACTTACAAGAAAATCAAGAAAAGTATAATATTTTCCAAGAGAACACATCCTGTTAATCCAAGAACCATACATGTAAATACACACGACTCAGATACTTTTCACAGACTGAGAAGAAAACGAAAATGAAACGCCTAAAATGAACAATCCTAAAATGGTCATATTTCCAAGCCTCTTACCTTGACCAGGGTGTTGACCTTGCTCATGTCAAACTCCATGGGACCCATGTAACGGTGGAAAATGAGGCGGCCAATGAAGTCGATGTTGTCGTCCCAAAAATTCAATCCCATTAAATAGGGACCTAATATGCTGAAGTCTTTGATCATAGCATCCACTGTGCCGTCTTGCAAGAACGCTAAAAAAAAAAAAGAAGAAAAAAACACTCAAGAAACTGATGGATCAAACTGGTCAAATCACTCCATATCGCCACACTATCCCGAGCTATATGAAGCAGAGGAGTAACCATACCTGTGACAAGCATTTTATGCAAGGTCCATGAAAGACGCTGACCCACTTACTTCGAACATTAAGAGCGCCTTCGTCTCGTGTCCTGCCGGCGATGATGTCGACACGGTTGTAGCGGCCTTCCCTGATCAGTGTGGCTGGATGGTCCGGGAGAAACTCACCATCCACACGGGGAGTCATCACATAAGGCGATGGCTTGGAGTTGGGCAAGGAAATGGAGATTAGCTATATTTTACTCTAATAAGTTGGTTTAGGGATGGTAGAGGATTCTTTTAATGCATTTTTTCAGAACTATGCTTGTGGACGGGTGGGAAAATTAGGGTTTAGGCTTTCTTTCTTCACTTCAGTACAGGGTTTGTGGATGGGATAAATGAACAATTAGTAAAAATCAAGACATACTATAGATACAGGTTCATATGGCGCCAAACTGAAGGATAAATTGAAAATAATGTAATATTACAAAAAAATATTTGAACATAAGTGTTCACAACGGAATAACAGTAATTCTTCTGTTAAAATATTAAAATGTAAAACATATAACCAGCTTTCTTCATAACAGCTAAAATCTCACGTCCGAGAGTGAGGCACCTTTCTTCCAAGAATTAGAGAAAGGTAGAATGTACTGTTCTGTCCCCAGCACCAGAATGGACACCGTTCTCGCAATACCCGAAGACTGGGCCAAAAAAAAGGAGCTCGTAGTTCATTTCACCGAGAAAGCACTAGAGGACTACAAATAAGACAGCCCTCTTGTTGAATGGCAAAAAGTCCTTTCAGATCCAGAGACAAGTTAAATTCTGATGCGGGTACGGTAAGGCTTATTATAAATTGCAAAACTATGCTTTGAATGAAATTGAATTCCTGGTTAAGAAGTAGGTTAGCATATAGGCACATTTTTTTTACAAGAGTATGCGAGCTATGGTTTGGTCAAAACTCGTCAAAAGCAGTTCCAACAAGCAACTTCAAAGTGGGCGACCGAAGTGATCATGGAAGAAAGTGGATGCTGTTAGTATGATGAAGGAATCTTTTCCTAGCCTTTAAAGGGATAATGTTTACCGTTAATTCGAAAGATAGGTCTTTCAAACCAAAACCTTAGAATGCAAATAACCAGGACAAATAAAAATGCTCTTCAAACATACACTGGATGGCTAAAATACAATTATAAGTAGTAGTATTTATCTTACAACTTGGTAGTTTATAAGTAGTTTATAAGTCCTCAATACAAGTAAAATATCAAGAGAATTTCATTGTAAATATTTCTGTTGACCATGATGGCAGTTACTTTTACTGTCGCGATGTCATGAAACTGTAGTAAGCTTCCTCAGGAGTCAGTTTGAAAACGCTTAGATATGTAACAATACCAAACCAAGTATCTGACTAAGAGGTTCCATTTTTTCAAGTAATCAAGTAATGCACCTTATAATTAAAACTTTGCTAGAATAGGAAAATTGTCTGATTTGACTTTTGCCCATCATGACCCCAATAGGAGAATAAGGTCAAGATCAAATTATAAAATCCTTAGGAAAAAAACAAACTTAACTGTGTTCAACTCCTACCAGTTTGAGCAATGCAGCAGTCAGCTGATCAACAGGGACCTTCTTCAGGCAGTCAACAAGGTCTGCAGAATTCAGATTCTCCGTCGCTCCAGGACAGTCTACGAAGCTACCGAGCTGATTTGCCATGTATCTATGGTCCTCTCGAACTGCCCAAGAGCACAGAGCCGTTCCTGACTGGATGATGGCTCGCTTAAACAAACCTATGGCGGTTACGAAATAATAGTGAGGTGGAATAGAATGGTCAAAAGATTAAAATACAATGATGTAATATCACCAATGAGGCTTGGCATGGAAATTTCAAACAGTTCTCACAAAACAGTCAAACAAGTTCTTGCTTCATCTCGATTTTCCAGATATCAGTGAAATAAACTGAAGCAATTGCAGGGAGAAACAATTACAATATTTTCACTATTTATCTTCCCTTGGTATAAATGGTATAAAGTATTTACTTTTACCTTTTGACATTGGAGACAAAATGTGGTAGTGCACAGATACGCCTCCTGTGTTCACTCCAAAGATGGTGACCTTGTCTGGGTCACCACCAAGGTCATGGATGTTGTCCTGAACCCACTTGAGAGCTAATGTCTGGTCCTTCAGCCCTAGGTTGCCTGGGAGCTCAGAGTCCCCAGTTGAAAGGAATCCTACAAACCCAGAAGCAAAGTGTTTTGAATTACTGAGACAGGAATAAAAAGGAAACGTTCATTTCCTGTTCTCACTTCATCATACTTTGCAAACCGACAAATTTTCACTAATGTTTAGAACTTAATTCACATAATTTATCTGAATTAATCTGAATGCTTGTTATGTCCAAAAACATACATGAGTTGAAGCCCCAGACTAAAGGCTTGCGATGTGTATTATTCACTGCTTAAATCAAAATTATTGGTGAAATATATATAAAACAGAGGCATCCTGTTTTCTTAAATGATATAACGTTTGCCAGTGAGGTCAGTCTGGGTTGATGGTGCTGGGGACATGACAAGGCATGAACGATCGAAACGACTGCGAAAGGAAGCTTTGCCTACTTGTTTTTTGAGACATTGTTGGAAGAGGAGGGTACTGTTAGAGTAAGGGGGTGCAGGGGGAATCATAAAGAATCGATCCCACTTGGCTGGGCCAAAAGAAGTACTCAAAAGGTTTGCAGAGGTGGAGAGAGTTGAAAGACATGGGTGGGATGGCGCGTAGTGAAGTAGTACTGTGGGGAGGACAGTAGGGATGAAGAGTAGTAACAAGGGGTGTGGGGGTAGACAATGAAGAAGACTGTGCTGTAGGAGATGGAGTGGAGGCTTTTGGGAGAGAGGAAGGGGTATATTCTGAAGGCTGATTAATGACCCTGGTGGACAGACTTGACAGCAAACCTCGAGGAGGGAGTATTAGTATCAGTGGTCGGAGCCGTGGTTAAAGGAGAGGCAGAGAAATCAAATTCAGATAGGCTAGTTGATGAAGAGACAAGCCTTGATGCCCCTAATAAGGACAAAAAAAAAGATTATTGGCCATGGTGAGTCCGAAATAAATTGGGAAAAGAAACGGTCCAGCTCTCAGGGTCTCCATAAGGGTAACGGCAAGGTGATTAACTAAGGGAATACCGTGCCATTAGCTTCCGGAGGCCGTTCAGGACTGACATAAAGCCAGCCTTTCACTCTTTCAGCACGGCTGTCACACCTTAGCAAGTGGACGTTAGAAGTGGATGAAAAAGAGACGGAAAAGGAAAGGCGAAAAAATGACATGCAAAATTAGTTGAGGCAAGGGCAGGGGTGATCCCCTACATTGGGTCTCAGTCTCCGTCTAAGCTCCCCCCCCCCCCACGACGAGCAAGGGATTGGGGTTAGTACTCATCATCTTGCGTTATTCCTCTTGTTACAGATTTGGATCGTTTCTCTCGACTCCTACTAGTCTTGATCTTTGGCATTTTACTGAACTCTGTCCCCTAGAGCACCGCGCTACATTAGCCTACATCTACAGTTGCTAGCGTATCCTATTCTGTGAATCCCGATAAAATCCAATAACTCCCTACATTAAATGGCTCTTATCTTTTCAGTTATGATTATGAATAGCGTAACGGCGCCAATTACTACAGAAGAAGAACCTTGTGCTAAAAAAAAAATCACTTCAGTTATATGTGCAGGATGTCTGCACGTCCAGCCTTATTTTTTGCTCTGCGAATAGGAAAAAGGACATGACAAGCTTTCAGCGAAAAGGACTTATGTTCGCAAGCCCTCAGCGAAAAAGAACATCTTTGCAAGCCCTCAGCGAAAAAGGACGTGTTTGTAAGCATTAGCTGGAATCAACAAACAGGCTTGGCACTTTTTAGACTTTCAGGATTCCATAGACTTTAATGGTCGTGAATTATGTCGCGAAGCAGAACCCCTTGGGCAAATACTCCCTCTGTGACGAGTTCAACCTCTCGCCACCTTATCCTTCCTTAGTACTGTTCAATCCCATTATAAACAGCAAATTTGACAGGTACTGTGCGTAAAACGGGACTTAATACAGGAATATTAATACAGAATGGAATATATCAAATACATCAAATATTGGCTTAAATGTCAAAGGAAAAAAAAAAAACATAAATGCACAAAAAAATATACACAAACCAAAAAAAAATTACAGACCCAGGACTCCGATACGGCCCTGAACGGTGACATACACCACGTCCTTCGCAACCAAATACTCTGGTCGATATAAATCCATGCTACCCATTACGAAACCTCCGGGGAAAAACCACACCATGACAGGGAGGTCCGACTTGTACGGCTGCAAAAGATCATATAAAGTGTAAGAAAACTAAGAAAGATGCAAAGGTCTGTTAAGTATGAAGAAATTGACTTCTATGAACATTTACAACAAACTGATGATAATTATAGTAATGAACAACTTGGGGCTAATATCAATCGAAATGCAGTATATTATAAATTTAACGACACCTTCTTCAAATACAGAGTACCATTAATCATTGTCCTCAACATTAAAATGACAACACCAACAACAAAAACAAAAACAAACACAAAAAACAACCAGTAACATCAACCTGCAAGATTTAACTCAAGGTCCAACTTACCCGAGGTGTGAATACATTGAGAAACAAACAGTCTTCATTGGTCTCCATAGGGAAGAACTCATGAGGCTGAGGACATGCGGGCGGGGCTATGGAACCCTTCCTCACGCCCTCCCACGCCCCGGCAGGCAGCGGGTCCTAGGGAAGGGGGGGGGATGGAAAATAATGGTTAACTGTCGTTGGGTGTTTAAGGGGTCCCAGGTGGGCGGTGGGGGTGGTGGGGGGGGGGTTGTAGAACAAAAATAAAAGGTTGATTGTCGTTGCTTGAAAGAGGGAGGGAGTGAAGGAAAGAAGGAGAGGGAAAATATGGGGGGGAGAAAGGAGAAAGGAAGAGGTATCAGAGAAATGACAAGAGGTAGGAAGAAGGAGAAAGGAATAAGAGGGAATAAGAGGAAGGAGGAGAGGGAGGGAGGAGGAGGAGAGGGAGGGAAAGGGAGGAAGGAGGAGGAGGAGGAGGAAGAGAGGAAGGGAGGGAGGAGGAGAGGAAGAAAGGAGGAAGGAAGAGGAGGAGCAGGAGAGGGAGGGAGGAGGAGAAGAAGGAGGGAGGAGGAGGAGAAGGAGGGAGGAGGAGGAGGAGAAGGAGGGAGGAGGAGGAGAAGAAGGAGGAGGAGAGGGAGACAGGAGTGGGACGAGAAAGAGGAGGAGATGGAGGGAGGAGGAGAGGGAGGGAGGGAGGGGGGGAGGGAGGAGGAGGA